GCTTGGTTTGTCACCTAGGACATTTGCTTTTCTCAGGCACCAGTCTATTTAGTAGCAGCAGTAATAACCTTAAACTAAGCTACAGTTAGACTTTGAGTTGTCTAGTGCTTCGATTTCTTTAAGGATATCAGTTAATATTACTTGTATCACAACCAAGACACACCTTGAGCATGATGTGGCATCGGATAACATCCTCTCCTGGTGTATCCACACACTCGGCTTTGAGCGTTTGAGGAGCATATGTAAGGTTTTCCTCTGGTGTAAAAATGGCATAGATTACATCTCCATTTTGAATGTATCTCTCTTTCAGAGACCCTGTAAGAAGAGACAATAAAAATATAAGATGTTCTTGCACTGAAGCACATTTAAAAAAAACATTAGCAGAGCTATCAGTTTACTTTTAAAGAGTTATATTCACTATCATGATGAGTTTTCTTGTGGTCTGCACTGTGGTTCTACTCTTTTGATCCCAAATGACATAAAAAGACATCAGCTGTATGATCACTGTATGCAGCTTCCACACTGTATGTGTGTGAACAGAACATAATAAAAAGTTTTCAAATTGCTCAAATAAAAGAAACTGTAAAAGGTCTGCTCACATGTGTTGAAGAAAGGATCGTCTGTCAAGGGCATCCCGTCAATTGTGTAGAGACAGACTCCTGTAGAGCGTCCCACGTTTTCAAGGAGACAGATCCTCAACATCAGATCTTTAACAGTGTTTTGAGTTGGATCCAGATCTGAAGAAAAAAACAGACAAATAAACCAGACTCCTCATTTGTGCTTCTTTTATGTAGCCTATTCAGGGCTAGGGTTGGAAATAGCTCTCAGCTCAGAATCACAAAACACTTGTAAGTAAGCTGCGCCTATACTGTAAATAAGTAAATGGAATTACAGAAATTAATGTTAAAATGTTAAAAATGCATTACAAGGTTTGTTTCTCTTACCTGTAATACGTTTTGGTTGAGGACATTTAGGGTACTTGTACTGCAGGAAGAATGCCTTCCTTGATTTTTTCACAGTTGCCAGAGTTTGAACTTCGCACTTTGTAGCTTGGGGTCTTTGAATGGAGTTTTTCAATGCCACAAAACGATTCTTTTCCACACGACTTAAACCTGTAAAAAAAAAGAGAGAGAGAAAATGCCCCCCCCCCCCGTCTCTCAAAAAGTCTTACAAGTGAATTTATCTTACACAGCTGTCTATCTCCTTTTTACATTTCCAACTGTGTTTTCTTTCCTTGTTTTAGCCGTATACATGTCAGCTACATAAGTCTATTGCTGCAGCCAACCAACCATTATTGTGAGCATGAGGTTTGCCCAAAGTGCAGTGGTAATTATTATTAATATCATATTGCCCAGCACAGGAAGATACAGGGGGTTTATATAGCGTCAATAAAATAATTTAGCTCTAAATGATTGTGTTTACTTATTTCTGCACAGCCCCCGAAATATATACCTTCTATTGTGTACATATATCACAACGACATAATTCAGTGTAGTTGTAGAATTGCCAGTAAATTACAAATTAGGACAAAAAATAAAATTTTAGCTGAGGTTATTTTCCATTGACTGGTGACAACATAGTTTTAACTGTTTTTCAGTGCTTGTATGATGAAGTCAGATGAGTACTTAAGTGTTCCAGGAGGCTCCAGTTCACTTTTCAGGTTAGGTAGGTTTGCATATCTTCAATCGTCTGGCAACTTGAATTTTCTAACAAAGCATTATATGAAACTGAAAACTTTTCAGCACTCTTACCTAAGTTATGGAGATCTTCATCCGTCACACTATCCAGGAAATCTCTCTCATCTTTTACACCATGCTGAAGAAACTGAATGTGATATGACTCAAGCCTGTACTCCTTAAGTAGGTTGAATATTTTACCCACCTAAACAAAGACATTAGGAGAATTGATTTAATGGATGATGGGGCAAATCCACAATTTTCTTTGTGATAATTCCTACTCTATCAGAACTAGTTATTCAGCTACCAAGTGACAAATTAAATGTGCTTGAATAAGATAATAAAAAAAGGATTTTGACTCTATAAGCATAACTTTAGATCACCCTTTTAAAAGAACATCGTATTTTTTTTCCTAATCATTTAAAGAGACACGATCTGATCACAACAGCTGTGATCACTTAATTTCTGTTGACTCATTCTCTTTGAGGGCAGGGTTATAAGAAAACGAAACCTATCAGAGTGAAACCTAAAAGAAATGTGTCAATTCTGAATTTTAAGAAACGTTCAAACACACCTCTTGTTTTCTTTTCTCATCTGCCTCCAACACAGCCTCTTTCTCAGCTGATGGGCACATCTTCTCTCTCAGCTGATCTGAAGCTGGGAGCAGTTTATGAGTCTTTCCATGAAAGCGCTCTTCGTGGACTCTCAAGTGAGCCACACAGTAAGACTGCATACAAACCAGACAGGATTTCACAGCTTTGCTCTTTCTCCCCGTACAAACGCTGCATTTCACTTCATCTGGTTTGACCAAGGTTTGGGCTGAAGCTTTCAGTCCGCTGCGCTGAAACTGTTCCACCACTTCACCCAGAACCGTGTTTCTACTCAGCAGAGGTCTGGGATTAAACACCTGCCGGCACTGAGGGCAGCTGTACTGGCCTTTCTGCTTGCTCGTGTTCCAATAATCCTCGATACAGTCCAGACAATAGCTGTGTCCACAGGGGATCGTCACCGGGTCTCTCAAAACCTCCAGGCACACTGAACAACAAAACTGGTTGTGTTCAACAGAAATCATTGCTGCTGCCATTTCCTCCACACTCCAACAGAAACTGGTAGGGATGAAGTTGGGCTAGATTTCAGGGGAAATTGATCTCAGCCTCTCAGGTTTCATCTGCTGCACGCTGACACCACCAATCCCGGCCTGCACACAAGGAAATGGGCCGTCCCAGATATTGCTTAAAAAATTCCCTCAATGACTAAGTGAGCACTGTGTCCTGAGTAATTCTTCCATCTGTGACTGCTCACAGTACTAAATAACATTGGTAAACCAAGACATTACCTTTATCTAAACACTAAGTTCAGAAAGATCTGTCTGTCTGCATGTGGCTCACACACCTGGAGGATCATTCACAGGAGGTTAGTGCAGCGTTAAATTTGGATACATTTGAATAAACAGGCAGCGGCTGGGACTGTTGTTGAACTTTGTGCATCAGCGATGACGTGGCTTCAGGGTTGTCTACAGAGTCAGCCCATTCCAAACAGGTATGTTTAGAAAGGGCAATACACACGTATAATAAATCATAATGTCTGGTATTTAACAGCATGACTATACACACAAAAAAAATTTCAGATACAGAAGAGACGGTGCAGAAACAGAGAGAGAGAGCCATATACAGCTTTTTCTCCAAGAGAGAGTAATAATTAACTTTTGTATGACCTCAGCTCAATATATTAAAACTAACTATAATCCACTGGAGAGGAGAGTGGATTTATAAGATTAATTATTGGTGTATTGATATAGATTAGTGGTTTAGGACTGGACAAGCACTGTTGCTTCCCTCTACTCCTTTTAAGACATAATTAGTTCATTTATATTTCTCATCGAAAGTCTGTTTATTATTCATTTTTGTTTCGTTCTTTCTACATTCATATTTAATGATAAACAAATCAAATCTGTAATTAATCACTAACCACACACATCCCTGTGCTAACAGTAACATGCTACCACAGTGGAATTAGCATCCAAACGATTTTCCAAACTTATTTAAGTATCTTTTAAAAGCTTTTTAAGGAAAAAGAGCTTCCATAATTGTTTTCACAGATGAGCACACTGACCTTGGGACTTCTCCCTGCAGACATTTAATGTCAACGCTACAGACTAGCACGGTTTAACATAGCTAGCTTTGCTAACTGTGTCGGCTAGCTTAGCTCAAACTAGCCTGAGACACTTAGACCCATGATTAAAACTAAGACAAGATGGCGGCAAAGTAAATTCACTGACTAATCAGGAAAGTCACTTTGAGATCAGTCAGGACACTTTGGAACAAAGATGGCGACAGTGGACGTGACAGGACTTACATCAACATCTGCACAACTGCTGTTCAAAACAGAATCACGGTTTCAATGTGAACTTGTTCTCGCTGTCATCCACCAAACACAGGGAGCTGTGTAATGGCGTCGCTGAGGAGAATCTCCCTCGTGACAGATTTCAGTTCAGTCAACACTTCCTGGATCCTCTTCACACCAAACACCATTGTTGTTATTGTGACGAGGAGATAATGAGTCCTCAAGTCTCCATCACGAATGTGATGATAAGACTGACATGATTAACCTTTATAATTATAATTGGTACGTTTCACATTCATTAAACAAGGTTTTTCTAAATCCGGCCTGAACTTTAAGAACTTCATGACTCAGTTTAATTTGTGTG